CCGCGAGTGCTACAAGTGCGGCGAGGAGGGCCACATCTCCAGGGACTGCCCCCAGGGCGGTGGTGGTGGCGGCGGCGGCGGCGGCTACGGAGGCGGTGGTGGCCGTGGCGGCGGCGGCGGCGGTGGCGGCTGCTTCTCCTGCGGCGAGTCCGGCCACTTCTCCCGCGAGTGCCCCAACAAGGCCCACTAGGCGGCACAGCTCTTCAGATCTGAGTGCCCCGTTTACCCTCGCTCCTTTACCTACCTCCTGATTCTGCAGCAAGTCATACCCTATACCTATCAGTACTAGTATTAGTCGCCGTAGCGTTTCCCCCTGCTGCTCGATCCGAGCTTGGTTCCAGAAGAATTGCTGGTGGTGTGTTCGTCGTTAAGATCCAAGTTATTTTGTTGTCTCTCTGTGATGAGGACACAGATCTATCTATGTGTTGGATGGACTAAGTTATCGAAGTCAAGTTTGGTTTCTTGAGATTGATCTATGATCTTGCATGCCTAGTGTTTATCTTGCATGTCTGCCAGGCTTGAAAGCGTTGATTCTGATATTCTGTTCTAGGCTAGTGGTGGTGGATTATTTTGGAATCCTGTTCTCCCATTTATGTGCGATTCCATTGGCGTTTTGATAGTGGTATGATTCGCAAGTTTGATGCTTCATGTTCAACAGGTTCATGGTTCCAAATCTTCAACAGGTCAATTCTTATATGTTCTTGTGCCACTGTCTGCTGTTAGTAGATTCTTCACATGCCACTAGCTTGCAAAATGCATCCTAGATCTTTTTGCATCCGTCCTAAGCAAGACACGTTGATTCCTTGCTATGATAGAAGACAAATTCAATCAGCTCTGCTGTTCCCATTACGCCCACATTTCATTATAAGCTTAATCTGAATTCAGCAGTCTCTTGCTTAAGAAAGAAGGCACCTTAGCTTACTGATTAAGCCTGAAGCTCCGTTGCAGCTTAGTGGAGTAGTGTGCTTTGTCTGGGATGAACAGAATGGAATCATGTCGCTTTAGACTTGGGGGATGCGAAGAATAACAGCCTAAATTTTTATCTCCTTCCAACAAATGACTCTAGAGCACATGAACTATGATTGAATAAATCTTTATGAGCTTACGCTTTTTAGCATTTTTCATAGGAAATTTAATAGCCACTCCCAAATGAAACCATGATATGAAGTACACATCTCAAATTTTCCAGATCTCCTGTGTCCTTTGCAGGCAACGAGCAGGGGGAGGGACCCTGCCCCTGCAGTCGTACTTGGTAGTCTTTTTAGTCCTGAATGGCACTTTGTCGGGTAATCTCATCGGGGAGGAAACTCCGGCGAGCCCTGTTCGTGGCCGCCATAGCTGTTGATGTGCTCGTCCTCTTCGATGCTGGCAACAACTTTCTGCAACGCATCTTAAGCGCGGTAGTCGGCGTTAGTGTAGGGATGGAGGCAACCAAATCGGTTTCTCCCAAGTTCCCTTTGTTTCCCTTTAGCTCCAACAAATTCCTTGTAGAATTTGGTCATCTTTATTTCGTTTCTCTAGCGTTGTTGGTCTAGGTTTTCTCTCCAATTTACCTTGTGGTCTCTGCTTATTGGTATGAATTGAAGACTGCCTTGAATTCCTAACTTATGGCTTGGGTTCCTCCTTATACGTTTTCATGGTCGATTGGTTGCTAGGTCCAATCAATGCTTGTCGATGCTCTCTCCAACCTCTCTGACTTGGGGCCCCGCATGGTGACCATTGTTTCAACCTGGTGGCGCTGTAGGGGCCACTCCGTGGTACTCTCTCCGGTCCGATTTACTCAGTCGTGGCTTTAGTTTAAATTGAACTAAAATCATGACGAGTAAATCGGAATGGAGGGAGTAGGTTTTATAGGGCGCATTTCTCACGGTCGGAGCTTGGTTGTTGAAGATTGTAGTAGGACAAGAGGGGTGGTGGTTTTTTTTTTTTCAAATCAAACGCAGAAGAGAATTATCCAGTTAATTAACGAGAAACCAGGTGAAAACCGTCATAATCCGCTGAGCGGCACACATAGTATACCCCACACGCCCCCTTTGAGAGGGCCTCGCCGAGCTAGTACACATGTGTCATCATCATCACTTCTTCAAAAGCGACGTCATTGCCATCCCTAATCCCCGTCATCACTTCTTCAAAAGCGACGTCATTGCCATCCCTAATCCCCGAGCAAACGACTCTGATTTCATCGTAGACAAGCATCAACCCAACGCACACCATAGGGGTCATGTGGAGACAAATGAAGATCTGCACTAGCACTCAACCATCCGCGTCAAGGACAGCGCAACTCTTCCTCTGGATGAGAGCTAGGAAGAAGAACTATACAAGGTTGGCGCCGTGAAAACCACTGAATAGACCACATGTTGCTCGTTATCGTTGATACATGGCCCTGCCGTCGCAGCTCCGACTTCGTAGCAACAAACAGACCAAGGCAATCCCACGAACACGCCGAAGAAGAGCCGACTAACACAACAATTGCCGTGCCTCCGACCTCGCTCACCCCGCCATTGTTGCCATAGCAGGTAGATGTTGGTGAATGAACTATTAGAACTATTAGAACCATTGTCGGCGACTAACACAACCATTGTCGCGCATTCGACCTCGCTCACCCCACCATTGTTGGCACATAAGCTAGATGTAGAGGGGTGGTGTTGATGAATGAACTATTAGAACTATTGCTACCAGAACTTAGATGATGTTCTGAATTATAATTCTTAACAATTTTAAGCTTACCTAGCGATGCCTAGAACACCCTGCACATACAAGTCTAACAAAGAGTAAAGCGACGAAGCAAAACTTGATACTACAGGGAGTGAGTCTAGGAGATTGCAAACTCAAGGAGGTTTCATGACATATTTCATCTTATAGTTGGTGCTATCCTACTCCATATTGAAGAAGACGTCAATCCACGAACGTTCTAGGATCACGAAGACCTCGATTGCCAAGTCCATGGAGTACTTTGCCTACAGGAAAAGGAGGAGTAAAATGGTACTTCACCCCCAAGAGGTTTCAACTTTGTGGTGGGTGAGCTAATAACAGGTAAGTTTTGATGGCATCTAGCTATCTTAAGCAGATGGAATCTGATTCGTGACCCAACTAGGGGGTATATAGGGTATACCATGAATCCTACTTAAGCTCTTGAGTGGATTGGGGCCCCTCTAGAGAAGTATTAGTTTGAGTTCGTGATTTTTCATCAAAAAGGTTCTTTCGTTTTCTTGGCCGAGGGACGATTGTTGTAGCAAGTTTGCGAGGTAAGATTGATCTCATAAAGCTTCATGAAATAATTCAATGGAATGCGACCTGCAAAAAACAAGAAGTTCCAACGTGTTTCTACATATTTGATTTTTTTCCTTTTCAGCCCCCTGCTGTTTGTTTTTTCTGTACAGTACTATGATGATAACAATATTATGTTTTGAAACATTTTGAGGTGGTAAATAACATTCAAATAATGCGTGTGTGATTTTTTTCAAATATTTCTGCGCACCACTGGTGGTCGTAACAAAGACTTGACCTGGGAGTAGCTAGTCAAACATATCCGTTGAAGTCTGTCCAACCCACTGTCACCACCCATTGACGTTGGTTTTTCCCGAGGCTCGCTGGCACTCGCAGCCGCAGCTTGGCTTTCCTGAGAACTGAGAAGGGACGATAGGGGAGGAGGAGGTGGGGATTTCGAAATTCAAAATTCACACTCTCCTCTCCTTTCGTCAGGGCAACTGCAACGCCCGTCCATCAAATTGTGTGTAAACATTTGGACCATACTTTTTAAGGGTATATTTGGACCATACTTGTGTGTAAACATTTGGACCATGCTGTTTGGACAATTTGTGCCCTTCAACGTCGTCCATCAAATGTCCATGGACTAGTTCGTGCGTCGGAATAACCGTAAAACCGGAAGCAAACCTAGAGGAGGCCGTCGCACTTCGACACACCCTGCCAAGACAAAAGCGAGGCGGAGCCTGCGCATTTGGACATTTTCGCGTGAATGCCCGCACTTTCCCATCGCCTCTGCTTCGATCACCGTCACCACCCACCCCGGTTCCCGCCCGTTTCACAGTCCGCCGCCGTGATGGAGCCGAAGGAGGTGGTGATGGAGATGTCCGTAGTTTAGTTTTGTCGGGTCAAGATACGAAGGACCTATTGGTGGTGCCTGCCCGCAAGGCCAACACGACGACACACACCACCCATTGCCGCAAACAGAGGTAGACAAAGGATGCTTTGATGGTGGCTGGTCACCCAGTTCTTCGCCCGGCAAAGCATGCGATTCGTCGGGTGTGAGTCGTCAGTCGTGCAATCGCCTTCACCCTGGTCGGCACATATGATTCCGCCATACTACTTCGCCGCCACGTAGTCCGGTCCGCAGCCCCTACCGTCACCACCAGCCCTCGCGTCCCGTACAATATCGACCTCAATGGGGAGTACAACTTTATGGAGTCATAGTCGTCGGTGCTTGTCCAGCCTCCACGCCCATCGGTGCATGGTCTTTGTTTGCTGGGATGTTTCAGTCGAGCGCGATGAGTGGATGATGATGAGGCGCTGATGAATATGATACACGACAACGACGACTATGAAGGCGGGCAAGTAGATGACACCTAGCTGGTGGTGTGGTGGTGGGCGCCCAACAGATGCACACTTAGATGTTA